CTGATGAGTTTTCATCCGTTCAGGATGCTTTATATATCATTAGAGAGGTATTTGAAAGGACTACAAACTGGTCTTCAACTGAAATCTAGTTGACTACAAAACTACCAAGTTTCACTACAAGATACTCTGGCAGTTAATTTCAACTTGACCAAATAACTTCATATTGCACAAGCTTGTAGAGCTTCAAAAGTTAAACAAGTCTTCAGTTTGAACTAATACAAAGTTTCTTCTGGTTGGCTCACAAAACGTGAAATACATGAAACATCGACTCTTTTGAGAATTGGTTACTTTAGGGCCGGCTTGGCTCAAAAGAGCATTAGCGCTATATCTCAGTGGTTTCTCATCCGTTTTAAACGGTTCAGATATCATTAGAGAGGTATTTTGGGGCTCTACAACTTGGCTTTCAACTGAAAACTAGTTGACTACAAAACCATCAAGTTTTACTACAAAACACTCTGGCAGTTAATATACATTACAAAAGTGAAAGTTAACCAAATGACTTCATTTTGGCTTAGGTTATAGAGCTTCATTCTTTGAGTAATTTCACAGTTTGGATCCTCAAAAAATTGTCACTGCTGGCTTACAAAACCACTTTAGGGCTGGCTTAGCTCAACCAGTATTAGCAGCACATCTTGGTGAGTTCATTAGGAAGGTACTCCAAATGCCTACAAACTGGTCTTCAACTGAAATATCGTTGATCACAAATCTACAGAGTTTTACTACAAACTACGCTGGCAGTTAATATTTGTGACAAAGTTGAAACTTCACCAAATGACTTGCATAAGTAGTCAACTACAAATTGTTGTGTATCCTCACACACCAAACCCGCTTGCCATCACTTGCACGTCGTTTGGGGATGGAAGAGCTGGTGATGGCGACGCTGCAGACGTGAAGGTGAAGGATGGCAGCGAAGACCGTGAAGGTGACGACCAATGCTGGCAGGTCGACAACGGCTTGCACATTTGGGGCTGAGCGAATGGCGATGGCGAGCGCACTGGCGGACTTGGCCCCGTCCGAGAAACAAGTCGAGCTGCGACAGGCAACCACACGAGGGACGGCGCGAGCATGGTTGTGCTGGAGAGCGTCACGTTGGAGGTATGTTGTTTCTTTCTCTCTGGTTTCGGGCGCTCACAAGGCACAGACGCCCCCGGCGAGCTCCACCTGCGCGGCACGCTCCTCGTGCGGAACGCCCGTTCGAGAAGCACGTGTTCGTGCGCTTCACGCTCGACGGGTGGCTCACCACGAGCGAGGTCGGGCGCGCGGTACCTCGAATCCACCACGGCCAGCGATCCCAGGCCAGGGTGGGACCGCTTCGGCTTCTCGATCCGGTTAACCGACTACCGCACGTGCAGAAGGGCCGTGGCTTGGTGGGCCGCGAGCTCGAGATGGTGGTGGCGCTTCTGCGTGCCGTGGGTTGCGGGGGGGGGCGGCGCCGTATGTGTGGTGTGGTGAGCGTTCTTTCTGGCTGTTGATATCTGGAGGGGCTGACGCGCGAGTAGATTCAGAAGAGCCCACGGAGAAGGAGAGGGAAAGAAGGTGGCTGGGCACGGGCGCGCCTGGCCCGGCGGAATGGTGGGATAACAACGGGGGGGAGGAATTATCGCGTTGGGTTCCGCGGAGAGCACCCCAGCGCCCGGCCCCTGCGACCACCACGTCTCCCGCGCCCGGTCCGCCGCCTACATCGGCGCCGCCTTCTGTCCCGACGTCGACGATCCCGTTCCCACGCTCCTCGCCGCAGTCCGCATCGCCCCTCCAGCCCCACCTCACGCTCCCCGTGGCCATACCGCCCGCCGCCCCCGCCGAGGACGGCGCACGCGCAGGCGCTCGCGGCGAAGCTCGGCCGGCTGAGTCTGCGGAACTACGCCGCGCCGACACCTGCGCCGAGGCCGAGTTCCTGGGCGGGGTTCGTGCAGTCGAGCCCGCCACGCGAGCAGTCGAGCCCGCCGCGGCTGTCGCCGCTGGTCATCACCGAGCCCTTGCCGGCTGCGAATGCTCAGGCGGGGGTCGGGCTGTACTGGCCGTGGGGCCGGACCGCGACGACGCCGGAGGTGGTTGTCACCGAGGTGCCCGAGGAGGAGGATTCTGACTCGGACCGCGAGGGAGATGGCAACTCGCTGCTGGCGGAGCGGCGGGAGGAGGAGACGCCGCCGATGTCGCCGCTCGGCGCGCGCGGGCTCGCGGGGCTGCTCGAGGCGGGCGACGGCGCGGGCGACGGCGCAGGGGAGAGCGGGGAGGAGAAGGAGGTCCGCGGCCCGCCGACGGGCGCGGAGACGAGCAGCAGCGTGTACCGCGCGTTCGTGCAGCAGTGGTGCTTCCGCGGGCGCGGCGTAGTCCGGCCACGTGATGATGATGAAGATGACGACGACGAAAAAAAGGCCCCCGGCCACTGACTGACCCGCATACCTTCCTTCCTTCCCTATGCGATTTTTGGCTGCATACATCGACCCCTGGTGTGTTATTGTTATATCCCCCACCCATTGTGTACCACCCCCCACTTTTCGCGCTTCGTTCCGTTCTTGTACGATACAGATGCATACACGAGAAAGACTGCCACGGACACGTAGATAGAGTGCGTATAGGTAGCTGGCGAATATAGAGTTGATTTGCGATTTTGGGGGCGTTTCAAGTTGAGTATGGTGCCAGGTGGGGCCGGACTGGGTTGGCGTAGAGCGCGAGATGGATGCTGCATTGCTGGTGGGTTAGCGAGTGATAGCTCGGTGCAACTGCCAGTGGCTGTCTGGTTTGAACTTGGAGGGGGACCTAGTACGCGTGGACGCTGGCCGTTCGCCGCAGACGTGGGCGCGCGCAGCATATGTATGCAGTAATCCACTGAATTTTTCATTCAATTACTGCGGTGCTGGCCATATATAGATCATTGCAGATATTATACCATACTTGCCAGCGCTGTAGGCGGGTGGTGTTACCGCTCGCATGGTCGTCGGTGGCCCCGGGCCCACCGTCCGTTCGGAGCGGGGCGCTGCGATTGGTCTAATCGCGACCGGATATGTATTTTTATTTCGTCCTCAGGCTCTGGCTTGTTTACTTGCTTGAATACACGGCAAGTACCTGGTGATTGGCCAGCATATGCATAGCTTAGCCTAACTTGTTGTAACTGACGGTCGCTGTGCGTTCGGCTAGTCGTGAATATAGAGTTGTTTGCCGTTTTGCGACTTGGCGTAGCGAAAGCTGCGGGGCACTGAATGAGAACTTGGGGTGCTTGGCGTGGCTTGCGGCGGCGGGAGTACTGCTTCACTGAGCTGGGAGCATGGTCGTGGGTGGCAGTGCCACCCAACACTGGGTGCCGGTGTCCACTGGGCCCTGGCATCGTCCGTTCAAAGCGGGCGCGATTCATATCGGATATACAGCGCTACAGTTTTTGTTATTTTTGTCTCCCGACTTGTTTACCTGGCGCGGCGTGTTGCTTGCGGACACAATTGGCGCTGTCGACGAATAACGAGCGTTGGTGAGCAGGATTACTTCTCGGTAACTTACCTCAAGGCCAATATCAGCTGACAATTTTGTAGTGACAATTCATCAGTAAAACTACATGTTGGTCTTGGAGATCTTTGGTCTTTGCAACAGATCTTTGATCTTTGAAAGTTGTCTTTGGTAGTCTTGGTCTTGGGAGGACTGGTCTTTGGTCTTGGAATGAGGTCTTGGAAATACTTTTCATCTTTATAACTATTCTGCCAAAAATACATTAAAAATTAATATATAATTTCATGTGAGTGGTGGTCAGCGTATTTGTTTACATAATATGAGTGGAAGCTATCAAGGGAAGCAGTGAAGTGAAAATAGGTAGGTAAGAATGCATCTCCAAACACAGGGATAAGATGTGCTGAGTGCAAAATGGTATCGACATGAATTATATCCAAGATACGCTCACCATCGTCGTTGAGATCCGGCTCAACCATCCACATGCCCACGTCAGGACAGGGGGCATCACCAATGGCGGAGAACCATGTGACCAAGGCACATGGATAGGCGACCCTTTCATGTTTGAAGGATATGAAAAGTAAGGCACAAGCAACAAGGAGCCCACGGAAGCCAGGCTCGTCCTCAGACCCGGCAACATATACGCAATCATACTGTGGTGCCCCTCCCGCCAAGATCGGACTGCCCAAATTCGTTCATGTAGTAGACCCGTCCCGTTGGAATGATCACTGGGCGCATAGAAAGTAGCAATGGCTGACGGAAAGACCATGACTGAGGTGGGGAGGGGAGGGAATTCCGAGGCATCAACAGTGGTAATATCGACCTCGGGATTGAGCTGGGTGTAGAGAAAACGGCGAATAAGTAGTGGCAGCTTGTCACGGATAAGACCCGGCCCGTCCGCTCCGGGCGCTGGTGTCGGGCCATTGCGGGCCCGTAACACGCAGCACGTGACGACGGGGAACATGCGCCCCAGTAGGAGGAACGCACACGTGGGAAGCACGTGACCGAGAACGACGCGTCGAGCCGTCGCCGAGCCCAACTTCGACACCAGGGGACTGGGGAGGAGTGCTAGGAGGTCAGGAGTAGCGCCTGGCCCGCAAGGGATGTGCGATCGTCCCCTCTGCGGCCAGGAACGGGAGCGAGGAGGAGGAGGAGAGGCCAGGGTGTCCGATCACCCCCCTTTGCAGGCCCGCGTATATAATGCGCGATAGTGTACCTTGTACTCTATCGCTTAGATCGTCTGAAGAACTACCTTACTCCGTGCGAGGAGACGCTATCGACTCATCGGGCCCGACACGACCCGATTCGAACCATCGACCACCGACTACGACAAGGGACCGAGTTCACAGGCCCTTTCGGTTTCGATCTACACCGCCCGCCGTACTTGCGGGCCCAACTATCCATCTGTTCTGTTCCGGGCGCGCGTTCTTAGGAGAAGTCCTTGCACGGCCCGACCCGTAGTCTGACACAGCTCAGGTCGATCGAGGAATGCGGCTAAAGCAATAGGGTCCCGGGGATATCCACGAGCTATAGAACGGTAAGCTTAGACATTGATTAGAGGTCATTCACATACTAGGAAGCTTTGCTAGATGAACCTCGCCCTCAATCTCAGGACTGTCAGGATTATCGTCATCGTCGGTATCATGAGCTTGAAGTCGAGCTTGAACCGCAGGCGGAAGCGGAAGTACAGGGTCAGGTGCTTGGGGATTGAGAATGCCACGTTCCTCAAAGTCAACACGTGTGGAAGCGAGATTGTCGAGTCGGTCATTGATAGTGAGCATCTGGCTCAGTGCCTCGTACTTGCTTGATCGACGCCAGGGCTCTTTAACGGCCTTGATATGTTTCGATTCGGTTATTGAAGAACAGAGACCATTCGGCGCAGCAAACTCCGTGATGAGTAGTGCATAATGTGTGAGCGCATGTTGACGAGGGAGATTGAAACCATCAGGGCATACACCACTTGTTTCAAATATAATACGCTCCTTATGATATCTGGTAAGTGCATTTTCGATTTCTTGCAGTGTCGACTCGCTGATCACATTTCGCCGCACAAGGTAACAAAAGTCGAGAAATGCGCTGAATGCACGGAGCATTTGAGGAGGAACATGGCCTTCAATTGCAGAAAGGTAAACCTGAAGTCATAAGTTCGGCGATACCTGGCTCAGCCTTGAGCTCACCTTCATCAATGCCTTCGAATCATCACCCGTCCATTGCTTGAAACCCCGTCCTTCAGGAAAGCGACGGATGCCAGGAAATGGTGGTACGGCAGCAATCCTATGTCGAATCAAACTACATCCTATACTACATCTAAAGCTCGTACCTCCGGTCAATATCTGCCATGATCTTGGCCGCTTCGGTTTTACCATGTATGAGCTCTAAATACTCCCTGACACAGGTTACAAGGTGGTCTTTGAATGCTCCCTTGATTACCTGACGTAGTAAGTCGGGGGAAAGCAGCTCGTAAATGTCTGCTCGGGGAAAGTCCCAGGTATAAGGCTAGAAGAAATCAGCATTAGCCTCTGTTCGCAAGGTGCATGCACTAGAACATCGGGAATGACACCATATTGGTCCCAAAGAGCCTTATGGTCGAAGGCATCAAAGAGATCCTCCGTATGCTGTTGTGTGCGTCGTCCGCCCTCACCATCGAGGTCTTTATTGGACGCATGACATCTGGGACTGATTAGATTGAATGTCATTCCATTTACAGAACTCACCGCGCGCACCAGCCCTGAACGACACAAGCTAGTAGCACTTGCTCGGGGTAATCAGCAATGTATGGACCGAGTCCATAAATGACACGACGATAGTGGCCGTCCCCGAATAAGACAACCTCTGGTGTTGTCATTGCGCCCTTGAGTGAGGAGAAGATATGACGAAGGGACGCGTGAAAAAGTTGTCGTCGGAAAGTACGGAAATCAGCCCCGTTTTGGTGTTCTCGGTCAGCTAGGGATGCATCAAGCTACGTTTGCACCCAGTTGTCACGACTCGCCTTTGGGGATTGCCAGAAAGCCTATGAGACTGACTGCATTGCGATGGGCACGTCGAATGGTGTTATAAACAAGCCCATTGGACACATAAAGCGGGTAGAAGTCATTTTGGCCTGTGGCGACAGATGTGGTCGTTTTGTCGCTTCCGCCAATGACAGGAACGAAAACGGCACCATGGGTCTGTGGATCGGTAGCAATCTTGTCCTTTAGAACTGTTGTCAGAGCCAGCATTGTAAAGGGAAAAAAAGACGCACTGCTTGGCGCCAGGCCCACTGGCCCGACATGAAGTCTTGATAGATGCGTTCGCCGTTTGCATCATAGACACGTTTGGGACTGAGGTCCAGCTCGTTCTTGAAGTCTGGGTTGCCGAGTTGCTGCTGAAGAACCGCGAGGATCGGAAGTACACAGTGTACTCCTTTTTCTTCCAGGTCAGCGCATTTGGGGAGTTGCAATCATCTTCTCCTTCATACGAGACATTGAATGCCTGCCATTGAATATGGCCCCGCTCTGTCGCATCGATAGTCGCATACAGTTCGTCCGCGTCGGCGAATGGCGCGTCACCGTCCTCCGACGCAAGAATGTCCATTAGTTCGTTGATTTCGCCAGCGGACATCTGGACTTTGCGGTACATGAAGTCCGCCATTCGGAACTGTTTAAGCTTGTTGTACGGAGAGAAGTCGTCTGGGGGAGGGAATTGTTTTGGTGGAGGAGGGCTGCCTGTTTCCATCGTGATCGCAAGACCTCCATAGCTCTCCCACCTTCGTGACGCCCCATGTGATAGGTCGCAGGTTCGATCCCCGCCCAAAAATCATATTAAATCCCTTTTCGGCGGGGAAGGACCACGAGGGGGCTCGGCTGCAAGCCTTGTCAGCGGTTGTTTAGTTTAGTTTCTGAAGATGCTGTCCTTTGTGGTCCGGCGACGGTTCGAATCCGCCGCGCTTTGTTTTAATTTCTTCACGATGGCGGCTGAATCACGTGTTACACCTCTTTATTTTGTTTTATTTATTAAAGTATGTGTATAACTTGAAAAAAAAATGGTGGCTCCGCGCAGCGGGCCTCGCGGCGAGCGCCTGCCCTGCGGCGAGCACCGGGTCCGGGGTGGAAAACCCCCCCGCCCCGCCGGCCGGCGCCACAACCCGCAATACCAGTGAGGGACTCAACAAAGGCTAGTTAAGTGGATGTGTTGATTTATGTGCATTTATATATTATTTCTTGGCTTACAACTCATTGAGCTTAAAACAAATACCTCGGTTGAGGATTGAACCGCCGACTCATCACGTGCACCGTCACGAAGGTGGGAGACCAACCGATTTCGGCTGCCCTGGAGAGCTATCGTCAGCTAAGACCAAAAGATCAAGCACTTGTGAACGCACCAGTGAGATGTGGGTGGAAATCCACTCGTGAGTTCGGAGCAGCGGTTGCTGGATCTGCATCCGCCCTCCCAGCTCCATCGTCCATCGTATCAAGATCGGGGTACTGCCAGCCAGCTTGAGGGACCTCGTTCGCGTTTGCCTGTGATGGTGGGCGAGGATGAAAGGAGTGCCATGTATTAATATGTTGTGTGCGACCAGATGCATTGCTGAAGGTTCTCCGGCATCCGAATGGGCACGGCAGCCGGGGTCGATTAGGAGCCATGGAGGGAGTGGTCGAAAAGTCTCTAAGTTATTCCGGGGATAGACGGCCCTCCCAGGCTCCAAAGACCTTGCCCAGAGTTAAGATGTACGTTGGGCGGCAAATCCGGTGAGCGCGTGTTCTTGCCCCGTTGTCAACATGCACTTGCCGCGGCCGTGATCAATGATCATGGCGGTGTTTCGTCGCCTTCTCTTCTGCCTCTCTCCACCGTCGACCGCCCAATGGCTACCCCCGTCCAAGCTCGACGACAAAACCCTCGAGCTCCAGACGCGCCGCCTTTGCACACACGAAGCGGAAACAAGCACCATGCAATACACGGTCCGCCCACCGTCCGTCGGACCCGCGAGCAAGTAGAGGCGGATGAGGCTGCAGCTAGGGTGGCGCACGACGAGGCAGAACGACGTAAGCAAGCTGCGCTTGCGCGTGTCGCAGCAACGGAAGATGAGAACCAGGAGGAGGACAAGGTGTGCTCCTTTTATGTCATGCGAGCTTGCTAACGGTCGTTTCAGCGGCGCCGGGAATTGGCGAAAGCTGGGGCTCGCGAGAGGACGGTGCCGGTCCAGCAACCCGCTTCGTCCCACAAGAGCGTTGCTAGCGATGAGGGTAAGCTGCTTCAGTCGTCTAGTTTGTGCCGATTGCTTTGCTGAGCCCACACTAGACGTCGACATGCGCTCGCTTGATGACGGTAGCGGTAGCGGGTCGGAGGACTTGTACGAACCGCCCATTGAAGAAGAGCAAGAGCTGGACTCTGAAGAGGAAGATGAGCCGACCAAAGCGCCGAAGAAACCAAGCAAGGGCACCTGCACCGACGTTCAAGCATTGCGTCAAACCCAGGATACGCACCGGGACTCCAGACGTCGGAGGAGGAGGGAAACGAAAGGCGGGGAAGGATGATGGGTAAGTTCCTTCAATGTTTAGGCTGCGCTGACTGTTGCTCCAGCCTTAAAACGAGCAAGCGGCCAAAGGTCGTCCTGAAGAAGGCTGGTTTGGCGCCACCAGTCCCTGCGAAGCGGCAGCCTGCAACGTCACCGACACAACTTGAAGACGGGGACTCAATGTTCCAGCCCGGAGGGCCCGCGCTTGAAGACGGACACGAAGGCATCGAGCATCCCGCTCGTAAAGGACCGAGCAAAGGCCTCCCGAAGATTGATGTGCATCCATCACTGTCAAGCATCGTTTTCCTTCTTGCTCTCACCTGCTTCCCAGTCCGTCAAAATCTCTCAAAAGCAACTTCGCGGTGGAGGCGGCAAATGGACAATTGCTCACCTACCTCCCAACGCGGAGCCCTTGTTCACCCGCGTTTTCATCCCGCTAACTAAGGAGCAGATTAGCATTTCGGAATCAGACCCGTGGCTCAATCTGGGAGTCGCTGACATGCAAACTGTCATTGACCGTGTCTACCCGAACGAGGGTTTTATCGTCAAGCCCAAAGAAGCCTGGTTTCATCTGGTAAGCTCTCGTTCACATTTGGCCTAAGCTCACGCACCCTCAGGTTCACTATCGGGCTGTCGACTACCGGCGAGGATTCCTCGACCAGGCAAAGAAGGCATTCGAGTTGCAGCTCGAGAGCGGACGGGAGGCCATCGCAGAATATGAGGCTAAAGCTGGTGAGTCAGCGTCCAATGCGTACTTGTATTTTTGCTGACAAACTGGAGCGGCGAAAGCAAAACAAGACATCAACGGAGAGGATGAAGGGGACGAGGATGCCGACGAAGGCCACGGTTTGATTCCAGTCGATACCCCTGCCGGCGTTGCAGACCTCGTCGAGTACTTCCTTACTTCAAGTGGCGACGGCCATTCGAAGGCTTTCCATTGGAATAAGTGGGATGAGTCTCAGGAGAGCTGCACGGTGTCGTAGAATTGTCCTTTTATTTGTTTGCTAACTCGCTTCTTGACAGGGCCTCTTTGAGTCTTTCCTTATCAAATATACGTTCACATTTCATCTTATGTTTCTCGACACAATTCCACATGAATATCGCCAATCTTCGAAACCTCCGTATGGTGCCCTCCTCCTCTCGATTCAAGCGGTACGTGTCTCAAGCAGACTGTTACATCACTAATCTTGCATTGCACCAGGTGGAATGTGTCCTTCAGCGTTGGACAACTGGTATTTATGTTGCACCGCCAAAAGGGCACAAATATGAGTTTTCGACCGACAATTGGGGCGACGCTGTCGAGACGATTGGTAAGCAACGACGCAAGATCCGGCGGGCCACGAAATACCTCAAGACACTGCAAGCGTGGACGGAGGACGAGTGGGAGGGCTATATTGAGTCCGCTGCTGCCTTCAAGGTGACCAAAAACCGATGTAGTCATAGTCGGTCATCAAGCCGCGTATCGTCGAACGCTCCTGAAGAACTAGAGGATGAGGAAGAGGAACAATTTGTTATTTCACGTCGTTAGTTTATATTGTTTTCTATGGTATTATCAATAGTGCTTTATGGTTTTATGATTGGTCTTTGAGTGTCTGGAGTAAGGTCTTTGGCCAGCAATCATCATCTTTCCAAAGACTGACACTGTCTTGGTAAGACCAAAATGGTCTTGGGAAAGCTTCCCAAGACGAAGGGACCTGCCTAGCCCAAGACCGCGGTCTTTGGCGTCTTTGGCGTCTTTGACATCTTTGGCGTCTTGCCAAAGACTCCAAAGACGCCAAAGACGAAGGTGTAGTTTTACTGATGTTTGTTGTAAATAAATGCACTAAATATGCCACAAGATACAAACAAGATGATAATAAGACCATACAATATATGTATATATATATATATACATCAGAAATAAGTGTGATGACAAAGTGGGGTAATAATAATGTGACACATTTTTTTTTGACAAATATTTGGGCTTGAATGACATGTAGGCATTTTTGATAAAACATGGACAGGAAGGGGTAGTTCTAATGAATACTATATTTAATACCTTAATACAGAACTTGGTTTCTCTGAAGGGGAGTAACGGAGTCCAAAGGAAACCAAGTGGCTATCACAACACTATATCAAAGTGAGTGACTACACATCTTACAGGCCGAATACAAGTCTGAATAACTATGTGAACTCTTGCAGATATGTTTGGAGGAGCCAAAGGTGATAAAGGCTCAAACACAGGGGGAGTTGGATAAGAGCAGAGCAAGGCAATGAACATTAATAATGAAACTGAAATACAGGAGTTTATTTAGAGTATAAGTATTTATACTAGGTGTCTCTGCTCTTATCCAACTCCTCCCCGTGTTCTAAGCCTTATTGCCTTTGGCTCCTCTGAATGTATCCACAGGAGTTCATGTATTTGTTCAGACTTGTATTCGGCCTGAGAAACATGTAGTTGCTCACTCCAATATAGTGTTGTGATAGCCACTCGGTTTCCTTCAGACTTTCCATTACTTCTCTTCAGTCTTTGCACGGCACTTAACAAGTAATAGTATTTTAATGAATTTAACTGGAAATAGGAATTTTTCACCACTTTTAATCGCATCAGTAGGTCACAGGATAAGCGACCATGGGAATATATTACCCGATATGGTAAGGGGGGGGTTTTCCAGAAGGCCCTTGAAAAACTTTTTGACAGTATATCTGTTTTTGAATAATGACACCCCCCTTGATCAGTATGACACTTTTGCTTGACAACAAGTCGATGATGACCACCAGCGCATCCAACCATCTTTATCTGGAGTCCCCCACTCCTTTTGACCATTAATTTTCTGCAAGGCAACAAGGCTGAGTTCTCTACCCCTGTTCGAAATGTCTTGATGAACACTTTTGATCAATATGCTCCACATTTCTGGCAAGGGGGTCCTAGGCATGGTGAAAAAAAACTTTTGCTATACCAAAGTTTGGGGGAGTTTTAGTGGGTTTGAGGTTGTGTTTGGAGTATATGTGTAGCATTCTAGCATAGAATGCAAGATGGATACTGATTAGCCCCACTATTTGCCTATGGCAAGGCTCTCAGCAGTTTAGTTGGGCTGTAGACTGTAGTGTGACTGGAGTGTGACTAGCCTCACAATTTATCATTGTCATTTAATTATACATAATCACAGGAAGCCTACCAGTGACACTGTAGAGACTCAATTGCTATGTATTACTCAAAACTCAAAGTATTCTAATAAAT